TGTCCTGGGGGAGGGGCTGAGGGAGCCGCTGCGGGAGCCTGAAGCCACCCTGCGAGGTGAGGGCTGCATGGGGAGGCACAGGGAGCACCCCGTGCTGGGGACAAGCCAGCCCAGTGGTGTCCCCGTCCCAGTGCAGCTGGGGATGGCCACAGATCACTCACCCTTACCAGGTCACACGGAGAAGATCTACTCCATCCGTTTCCATCCCGTGGCATCCGACCTCCTGGTTTCGTCCTCCTATGACATGACGGTGCGGATCTGGGAGCTGAGCAGCGGGCAGGAAGCCTTGTGCCTGCAGGGACACACAGATCAGGTACAATGTGACACACCTGGCGACATCCTGAGGGTGCATTTGGCCAGGCAAGGGGACATGGAGGATCCATCTCCTCAGATCTTCAGCCTGGCCTGGAGTCCTGATGGGAAGAAGCTGGCGACGGTGTGCAAAGACGGTCGGTTACGACTCTATGAGCCCCGGAGCAGCCCCCAGCCTCAACAGGTACCATCACGATGGTGGGGGCAAAGTGGAGAGCTGGGGGGACAGGCAGGTGCCTGCAGGGGGGGGGTCTCCATCCCCCCAGCTCTCTCAGAGCAGACAGAGTGACCTTGGCCCCACGCAGGAGGGTCCAGGTCCCGAGGGGGGCCGTGGAGCACGCCTGGTGTGGGTTTGTGGTGGCGATTACCTGCTGGTGTCTGGCTTTGACAGGTAAAGAGGGGGACACAGGCCAGGGCAGGGGTCCCCAAGGGACACTGCACTTCCTCACATTGTCACCTCCCCACAGTCGCAGCGAAAGGAAGATCCTCCTGTACCAGGCACAGGCTCTGCCCGAGGGACCCTTGTCTGTCCTCAGCCTTGACGTGGCCCCATCCACCCTCCTGCCCTTCTACGATGAGGACACCAGTGTTGTCTTCCTCACTGGCAAGGTGAGGTCTTGCCCCTCCCACCAAAAACAAATTGAGGGCTGCATGCCTGCAGCACCCCAGGAGTGCAGAGGGATCCTCTGTGCACACCCCTGCCAGTCCCCATCTTGCTCCATCCCCAGGGTGACACCAGAGTCTCCCTCTACGAGGTGACACCCAAGCCCCCCTATTTCCTCGAGTGCAACAGCTTCACCTCCAACGAACCCCACAAGGTAAAGGGGGGCCTGCCTGTGCCGTGCCTCCTATCCCTGACCCCCCTGCCTGCGCTGCCAGACCCTGCTCACACCTTCCCCCCCACATCAGGGCTTTGTCTTCCTGCCCAAAACCATGTGTGAGGTGCGGGAGGTGGAGTTTGCCCGGGCGCTGCGCCTGGGGCAGAGCACCCTGGAGCCGGTGGCTTTCTGTGTGCCACGTGTCAAGGTAGGCAGTGGGGTCTGCCTGTGTTGGGGGGGGGTTTTGTAGGAAGCAGGAGCCCCCCTCCCTCAACACCCCTGGCCCCCGCAGAAGGAGTATTTCCAGGATGATATCTACCCCCCAACCCGCGTGTGGTGGGAACCAGCCCTGGGTGGCCGTGCCTGGCTGGCAGGGCAGGATGGGCAGCAGCTCCGGGCCAGCCTGCAGCCACCTGACATGACACCAGGTGGGTGCAGAGGGGCAGGGCAAGGACCCCCGGGCCCCACGGGGATGGGGGTGTGTGTGTGTCAGCCACAGGGGCAAAGCCCCACCACTGTGCTGCTCCCCCAGTGAGCCAAGCCCCCAGAGAAGCTCCAGCACGCAAGTTCGTCCCTGCAGCTGTGTACCTGGAGGAGAAGTCTGACGAGCAGAAGAAGGAAGAGGTGGGTGCTGGGGCAACCCGGGACCACCCTGCTGAGGGTGGAGGGGGGGGGGGGCC